TTTAGTCAACAAGGAGATGACTCCAGCAAGCTTTAGTGCCTTGCATATGGTAGGCACTTAATTAATATTTGTTGAATGAATGAATGAATAAAACATATAATACTTTCATATTTACCTAAGCTTCAGTGTCCATAGATTAGTTTGATTATGCAGAAGACAGATACATCTAGCTTTAAAAAAAAAAACAAAACATTACGCTGTAATTTACAATCCTTACTCTTGTACATTTCATGTTGGGTTCAAAATGTGTTGAATAAATAAATGCAAATCCCATTTATTTTTAGCCAGTGACCTAGAATAAATAGGCTTATAATAAAATTTACTTGCTCATTGTCCTCTACTAAAGTTCTTTGTAGATTCTCCAAGTGGAGGACAGAAGTGGTCCTACATTCTCAAAGACTATGCCAGTGGAATACAGTCTCTGGGAGGTTTACCAAGCTGGAAAGCCTTTGAGTACAGGATAGATAATGGTCTGCTTGGCTTTCATCCAGTAGCCAGCTTTGCTAAGAGATGAAAGACTCATCATCAGGAGATTGGGCAAAAGATGAAATTTTCAACCACGGAAATATTTGAAGTTCATCTATGATCATAGGATCGTATATCTACTTCTAGAAGAACCTCGCAAGTCCACTTCTCCAAACCCTTCATGGTACAGATAAGGAAAATGAAGCCCAAGAAAATTGTGTGATTTACCAAGGTTATTCAGGTAGTGTCAGCAGTAGAATTTGAATCCAGGTGTTCTGAGTTACAAAGCCCGTGTTATTATACTGACTATGTGGTGTAGTCGAAAGAATATTGTGTCTGGAGTCAAAAGACCTTGGTTCCAATCCAGCCTGTCATTGTTGGGCAAGCAACTTCAAATATCTGTTGAATTTGATCTGCCTTCTTGCTCCAGGTCTGTGGTTATGTGAATCGTTAGACATGTACTCAGAAGAGCAGCATCGAATCACCATTACATTCTTTTTAGTCGTGTGAACTTATGCAAATTAAAATGACTTAACTTTATGTGGAGCTCAGCACAGTGCTGGGAACATAGTAAGAGTTTAAAAAATGTTGACTGGACTTGACCCTCTCTCAGCCTCAGTTTCCTTATCTATAAAATAGATGCAAGAAAACTTGCATTGACTGCTTCAGGTTTATTGTGAGAGAAAATCTCTAAACTGTTGAACTCTTTATCAATGAGAGATATCATTTTCATTGTTCTTTACCCTTTTGCAAATAGCTGGTCAGAATCTGGGGTGAAATTTGTGGTCACGTAAGAGTTTCTAAATCTACCAAGAGTTCAACTAAGGAAAAGATCACATTGGAGCACAGTAGCTGATAGAGAACGAGGGCTCTAGAATTTAGCTGATCACAAATAATAAATAATGTTTCATTGTTCGAATGTAAAGAAAAATAAAATTGTACTTTGAAAAGCAGCATATGCAATGAATAAGTTCTAAAAATAGGCATTGAAATTGATATAAGATTCTTCATGCTAGAATTAGAGCCAATGAGGTGATCAGTATAGAAAACACTGACCCTGGAGTCAGGAAGACCCAAGTTCAAATCTAGCCTCAGATACTTTCTAGCTCTGTGTGACCCTATTAACCCCTTTGTCCCCAGTTTCTTCAACCATCATAACAGCACCTACTTCCCAGGGTTGTTGTTACTATCAAATTAAATAATATTTATATAGTTCTTCACATAGTACCTGCCATATAAAAGGTGCTTAATAAATGCTTATGTCTTTAATTCATTCCACAAATACTTGTGATATGAGTGCTATGTACAAAATGCTACAGTAGGTTGCTGGAAGACATTAAGATGAATAAAATGTAATGTCTGCCCTCAAGGACCTTAAAATTTTTAAATGATTTGGTGAGCTGTATATATGAGCAAATGGATATAAAGGCTTAAAATATTTTGTTCAGAAATTTAGAATGATTTCCCAGAAGAATACAGAGTGGGAAGACATAAAGGAACCTACCGCCTTCTTACTCTTCTCAAAAAAAGCAGTAGAAATAAAAAAATGAGCAAAATTACTAGAAATACTCAAAATAATTCAAGGGTCACACAAGGAAATGTGCAAACCAATGAAAACCTCCAACATAATGAAAAATTTCACAGATTAAAAAACATACAGAATAAAAAATGCCAGGGAAAAAATGTATTGAAAGAAGCCCTGAAGAAATATTTTCTTTTCAGCACACAACAAAATGAATAACAATGAGAATCACAGTTAAGAGAGGACTTTCAAGCCATCTCATGCAGACCATACTTGACTAAGAATTCCTTCTACAAAGTCACTGACAAAGGGAAAAAAAAAATATATGGCAGGATGAAATAAGGACCTAAATGTGAACAGGGAATTTCAGGACTAAATAGTGCTCAAGTCAACAGTCTAGAAAGATCCACGATAAATGCTTTAAACTGAATTTAGGAAAAGTAGGATTATTTTAGCAGAGCACAGAATAGCAGAAAGAATAGGAGACTTCAAGGAAACTCAAAATTACTTGACAAGGAAAAGATTTGGACGCCGTGAAAAAAAGTAGTGATGATCTCTAGGACAGATTAAGGAGACAAGATTTAACTCTTGTATAGCTCCCTGAAAACTGAAGAGCAGATAAATTAAGAGATTTATCCAAGATTACACAATCAGCTGCTCCCTTAAATCCCCCAGATCTTTATGACGTGTCAGGACAGGATGCTAAGGACCTTGGCGGCCAAGGGTTTGAGGGATCCTGATCTGAGCACTGCTGTTTCCAAGATCCAGGCTTCGCATTTCCCACTACCTTAGGGCTTACTAGGGGAGCTGTCTATGCTTTCTGTCTGTAGATACAGAGCCTAGTAGGATAAAAGTCTCCCCAACTGGTCTCTTGTCATGCTTAGAGGACTGAGTTGACATTGAGTTTTGCTTGTAGTGCCATTTCCTACTGCCTGTAGCTGAATTTTTGCATGGATACAATCGCATGCTATAATTTCTCATTAGATTTCTTGATCATTAGGCCTGCTATGATTATTCAGTCTGTGGTGAAGTAGATGTGGGGAAACCAGGCAGCTATATTAGTTGACTTTCAGGCAGCCATCATGGCCCAGCTTCTATCTCAAATTCACTTGGGACATGAGGAAAATGACTTTACCTTTCTACCTTTCTGTATCATATCAAATCTGTTGCCAAGGCCTATCAGTTTCATCTCTCGATATTTCTTGAAGAAATCTCCTTCTTTCCTCTGCCAGTGCCACAGCTCCGATATAGGGGCTCATCATCCACCTGCCTGGATTATTGCAATAGCCTGCTAGGTGGTGTGCCTGCCCCAAGGCTCTCTTCTCTCCAACCGGTCCTTCTTTTAGCCATTAAAGTGATTTTCTTAAAGTACACGTTCGTTGCGATCATGTCACCTTCCTACTTCATAAACTCCAGTGATTCCCTATTGCTTTAAGAATCAAATACAAAAATTTGTTTGACATTCAAAGCCCTTCATAACCCAACCCCCTCCTACCTTCCCAGTCTTCTTCTACCTTACTCCCCTATACCTACTCTTTAATCCAGTGACATTGGCCTCCTGGCTGATCCATGAACAAGTCATTCCATCTCTTGGCTCTGAGCATTCTTTCTGACTGCCCTGATTTTGAAATGCTCTCTCTCTTCTGCTTGCACTGTTGACCTCCCTGGATTTCTTTAAGTTCCACCTAAAATCCCACCTTCTTCAGCAGGCCCTCACAACATATGTCCCGGGCCGCTTGTGGCCCGCCAAAAGATTTCAGGTAGCCCACGAAAAATGAAGGGTTGCCACTGTAGGCTCTCCTGTTTGTCACATTCCCCATTGTCAACCAATCATCATTAGTCTGTCTCTAGTCTAACAAGGCGAAGAAGTTTAGCCTATTTAATTTTTGGCCCCTACCTTCTGCCAAGTTGTGCACGTTTGTTCTTCAGGGAGCTTTCCCTAATCTCTCTTAATTCCAATGCTTTCTCTGTTAGTTATCTCCTATTTATCCTATATATTTCTAGTTTTGTGTGCATTTGTTTATAAACTCCTTGTGGGCAGGGACCGTCTTTTGCCACTTTTTGTATCTTCAGTGCTTAGCGCTACACTGAAACATAGGTGGTATTTAATATTTTTTGATTGATTGACCTTGATGTTGTTGTGAGAAATGAATATTTCTCATATATTTAATAACTAATTATTGTATTGGGACCAAATTTTTTTTCCCCTTTTTTACTTCCTCATCCAAAAACCATGGTGTGGGAAATCTCTCTTAGAGATTTCCTCGGGCCAAGATCTAATCAGGCAGTAAAAGAAATTCTAAGTATGGGTATATTTCTGCTTATTGTGTTTGTTCAGACAGGTCCAAGATTCTCCATATATCAAGACAGGTGATATGAAAATTGATGTCTCTTTGACCAAGATTCGAGTGACCTAAGTCTCATACTACAAGACCTTCATTTTAATATAGTCCACACCTCTCATTGTGTTCACCAATCCGAGTTGATTGTCATCCCTCAGGAACTCCTACTCTTCAAAGGGCATATGCACTGTGAACCCACTGGCACTAGGGGTCTTTAGTCTGAGAGAGATGGCCAAATGACCTTCCTTTTATTAATAACCTGCTGACCTTAATAAAATGATTAAATTACCCAGAAACTATGTCTCTCATACCTTTTTAATAATTATCACATTGTCTAAGCTCCTAAAAGCTATACCTCAGAAAATGCTTGGGAGGTTATCTTGAACAAGGAACCCACAATACATTGGCTATGGAATGATTTTTAGTTGCAAAGTTTGACCAGCACCATAGTTCTTTCCCCACCTTGTTTTGAAAATGTCCTGATTATTTTAAAAATTTCAGTATATTTTCAATTTTTATCATTTCAAGATATTATAATGCTATGGTACCATTGCTTGGAGATATGTGTCATGGATGAATGCTATAATCAGATTTTATTTTCTCAAATATATTTGAACTTTTACAAACCTTCATATTCCCTTTTCTATTATCTCACACTTTTTTCCCCCCAGGATAACTATTTTAAAGGATGGAGGACTCCAGATAGCCAATGTCACTAAATTGGATGTTGGGACTTACACTTGCCTGGCCGAGAACCAGTTTGGGAAAGCGAGCAGCTCCATGAACTTAGTAGTTACAGGTATGTTGTTCTTTTTTGTTTTCTGGTTTGTATTTATTTATTTTATTCTTTTTTTCTTTTTCTGTTTATTTTTAGTTTTCAACATTCACTTTTATAAGATTTTGAGCTCCAAATTTTTTCCCCTTCCCTCCTCCCCAAGATGGCGTGCAATCTGATATAGGCTATACCTGTACAATAGGATGTTGTTCTTAAAAATGACAAGTATGTGCTAAACTGTGTAGAAAAACATTAAAGCTAATGAAAATTTCTTTAGTTCAGTCATACAAAATGTGTTGCGAAAGAACCATTTGTCCTCAAACTGCATTATGTCCCTTCATCCTTAAACACTGTATACACCTTCCTCTCAGTAGAGCATAAGCACCCCAAAAGGACTGTTTTTCTTTCTAGCACCCAGAAAAGGGCAATTTTTCTTTCTATCCATATCATCCCAGAACCTTAAGTAGTCCTTTGCTTAGAGGTAATTTACAAATATAATTAAATTGGATTTTCAAAGAGGAGGAAGGGTCAGATCTTCACTCTTTTCCACCATAAAATAATGTGAAACAATGAACACATTATTTAGTGCACTTTAATTATGTTCAATTTAATGATTTTCTTTTTTTAATTTTCTTTTCTTTTAAATTTATGGAATAAAACAAGCAGTTCCATAACATAGTACAATAAAAAAAAGATAAATGTACATGAAACTACAAATCTACTATGTACAATTTGATATTCCTTTCAACTATTCAACAAAATTATCATTTAAATTTCTTTTTTTTCTCTTTTTTCTTCCTTCCACCCCACCCTGTCGATGGCTACCATTAGACACAAATAGGTATATGCATATGTAAAATTAGTCTATACATACTGCTATTTATCAATTCTTTCTCTGAATGCAATTAGTGTCCTTTATAGTCAATTTGGTTATTTATAATAGACAAAATAACTTGCTTGCTTAAAGTACTTCTTAAAATATTATTGCTACTTAAAACTTTTCCATGTATACATTTCTATCCTATCCTATCCGTGTATACAATTCTATCTATTTTGATGATATACCAATTGGGTTCTTTTCCTCTACCTTGTCTGTGCTATGTAAGCTATCTGGCAAACCTGTTTTTATATCATTGAAAATTGCCTGTAGTTATGAGGATGTTCTTAATCAAGTAATATTTTTTAAGGGAAGAGGGCAGAGCAAAAAGGGAAAGGGAAGAAATATATGCACGGAATATCATCCTGTAAATCGACTGTAAATTATTATACCTGAAGTCCATTATACAGTGTGAAGACTGGAGGATTTAGAAGTAGAGAAACTTATCAAAAATCTGGTCTGTTACTTATAAAGAGCAAAATATTTTACCGTACTAGGCCTTGGTTTTCTTATGTAGAAAATGCCATGGTTGGACTTCCATCTGTAAAAATCATTCTATTCTTATTAACCTACTAATCTTATTTCTTTTTTGAATGAAGTATTTTAAATTCTTGTTAACCTGGCATCTATGAATTCATTTAAAGATGTACAGGATGTATTCTTTCCTCACTCCCACCACCTGTCAAAACTACTAAAACATAGGGTTACCCATTGCCTATCCTACAGTACAGACTATAAGTGAATGAAAATAGTCTAGTCAATTCTGACTATGTAATTTTCATGCCTAACTTTCATTGCTAACTTTCCTTCTGTCCTCAAGTACTCAGTGATTTACCAGTGACAGTGTTGCTTTCTCATACTAAAAATATCTCAATTTTTACTTTTATCTATAATTCAAGTAAATCAGAGGTTATTTGGGTGAAGCCCAGTGAGGATAATGTTACTAGATAGGTCATCTGACTATCTGTACAAGTGATAGTCTGACAACTGCGACTTTCTGAATGTTTGAGCATCTGTTGTTTTTTGTTTTGTTTTCCTCTAGAGCCCACAAGAATAACATTGGCCCCCTCCAACATGGATGTTTCTGTTGGAGAAAGTGTAATCCTGCCTTGTCAAGTTGAGCATGATCCCCTTTTAGATATTGTGTTTACTTGGTATTTTAATGGAGCCATCACAGATTTCAAAAAAGATGGATCTCATTTTGAGAAAGTAGGTGGGGTAAGTTATGGAAATTTACTCATGCTATTAATATTATGTGGGGTACATATGTATTTCTCTATGAAGAACTCTCCTGGGATTTTTCTTTAATTCCAGTTCTGATTTTGTTCCAACCATTGATCAGATCAAAACACTACAAATTAAATGATGCATTATTTTCTATACATGCAGATTTAATTTAAAATCGTAATTTCTTTGAGACCCAAATTTGGGAAATCTGCTTCTTTTATGAAGGTACAGGAGCAGGAACTAAGGCTTGTATAAATTTGTGTCTTACATTGTAACTAGTAGAGTGTTTATGAGTAGAAAAAAAGGGGGTAGCAATCATGATTTCAGATAAAGAAGCTGTCAAATTAGATAGCATTGAGAGAAATAGAGAAAATACATAATGCTATAAAGCAAGATAGTGAAATAATGAATAGATAATGAAACATCAGTGTTTAATATGTGCCTAGCAAATGGTGTAGGTAAGAACACAAAGGGAAAGACAATCAGATAATAGGGGGAAATGGTCAATAAGACCATAATTATCTAGGTATGCAGTTCTATTCATGGAAAGACTAGTAGCCTGTTGAAAACCAGACATGAGTACTTTGAGATCCTGGGGTGTCAGACTGTCCCAGGAGGCCAAAGGGAAGGGTATGAGACTGAAAGTAAATAGGAAAGGATCCTAGAGAGAAAGAGAGATGGCATAACCAAATTTAGCTGCCTAGAAAACTGGCTCTTTGAGTCATAGAAAGGCCTAATGTGTAATTTTCATCCTTTTCATCTCTAAATTCATAACTACTGAAAGCAATAATTCACAGAACCTCACAGTAGGAAGAGATTATTGTATCATAGATATAGAGCTTAAAAACCTCAAGGGAAAGGTAACCCACTACTTCCTGAAGTTGCCCAGTTCTCATTGTGTTAGCTCTTATTGGTGGGCAATCTTGCCATCTGTGAGGCCTAAAGTTGCCTCTCTGAACATTAGTTATATGGAGCTAGAGTTAGAAGTGATGTCAGACACCATCCAATTCACAACTGCCTTATTTTTTTAGCTTTTTTTAGACAGAAGCCAAGAGAGATTAAGAGTGTTGCCCAAAGAACTAAAAACAATAGTAACAGAGATGGAATTAAAATCAACGTCCTCTAACTCTTAATTTTATGATCCTGCTCTTACTTCTAGTGATATTCTCTGAGGCCAGGCAGGACAAGTCAGATCCCTGTTCCGCATGACAACTCTTGGAATATTTGGATGTAGCTAGCGTGTTCCTCCTGAGTCTTCTGTCCTCTAAGCTAAATATCCCTAATTGCATCAGCCTGTTCTTACAGAAGCAACTGGGTGGTGCAGTAGATAGAGCATTGGACCTAGAGTTAAGAAGACCTGAGTTCAAATGCGGTCTCAGATACTTACCAGGTGGATGACCCTGGGGAAATCACATGACCTCTATTTGCATCAGTTTCCTCAAGTGCAAAATAAGAATAATAATAGCACCTACCCCCCAGGGTTGTTGTGAGGATCAAATGAGGTAATAATATTTGTAAAGTACTTAGCACAGTATCTGGCATTGTATAAATGCTAGCTAGCTAGCTGTAGTAGTAGTAGCAGTAGTAATAATAGTAATAGTGGTGGTGGTAGTGGTAGTAGTATAGACAATAAGTGTTTCACAATAGTAATGCTAGTAATAGTAATAGTAGCAGTATATGCCATGATCTCAAGACCTTTGCTATCTTAATCACCTACTTCCCCATTCTCTATACCTTATCAATGTCGTTCCTAAATTTGGTACCAAAACTGACCAGAATACTCCAGATGTGAATGGTCTCACCAGGACAGAGAGTGATGGGATTATCATCTCCTTAATACTCTGCCTCTCTTAATACAAACTGTGATATCAGTAGTTTTTTTTCTTATTTTGTTTTAACTATAATCTCAATAGTAATAATAAATGATAACCTCTTCAATAGGACCAAAAAAATAGCATAAACTTAAAGTTATATAAGTTGATTTTTTTTTCTTGAGGGGTAGAGGTCCCAATATTTGATTTAAAAGGCCTGAGGCACTTTCAGTGTGGGAACAGGGGGGAAAGTGTTTGTGTGGGTATGTGTGTATGTAAAAGTGAGCCTAAAGAAAACCTGTCACAAATTTAAATACAACATCCAAATTTTAAGGAACATTGTCAAAAGATTTAACAGACTGAAGACAGATAGAGCCTCTGGAGGGAAATGCAGATATGATTGGAAGGAAGAGGAGGATAAAGATGAGAGCTAAAGCTGTATAAAGTATATTTCCCTGGTTGTAGGATTAAAAAGAGAAAATAGCCCAATAATAAGTATGTTGTCACACAGGTAAGCAGTTTTTGTTGTTTTGCCCAATCTGTGATTTCTTCTCTCAGGCTGCTCCCAATGAGGAATTCCCTTTGTTAATACAGATAACCACCTTCATTTTTAGAAAATAATGATCAGACGCGAGCACTTACACTGCTTATTCCAAAACATGTTGTTTACACTGAATCCTCCTCCTCGTGTCCTTCCCTTTAAATCCCAAATTCTGACTCTGTGACTCTAGGCTCTGACGGATGAATTTAAGTCTTCTCTTTCCCAGAAGCATTCCACGAATTCAGTTCCCCTCCATTTCTAAACCTTCCATCTTTCTATCTTTGCTTTACAGTTGTTTAGTTTATATGACCATCCTGCCTTTTTATGTTGTCTTTCCCCCACCCCAACCAACTCCATTTGACTGTCATCTCCCTGAGGGGAGGGGCTATCTTTGCTTAAATTTATATTCTAAATGAGTACTCCAATTCCTGGGTCATGTAAGTGCAAACTTACATAAATTAGATATTATATAATGTAAATAATTGTGTATATTGGGGTCCTTTCTGTCTTTAATCTCTTTAAGACTTGTGCCTATTATGTTTGAGTCGATAGGTTTGCTAAATTTTACTGAATTTCATGGGGTTATCGGTCCACATTGATTTCTTGAGTGGTTGAATGAAATTCACAGCTTCACAATCTTTGCATTAGGGTTTCTGTCCTCCCAAAGTCCCTCTAGTAAGAGTTATTTTCCTTTTTTGTCATCTTGGCCAATCTACTGGGAGTAGGTTTTAATTTGTGTTTCTCGTATTAATTATTTGTTCATTTTTTCTCCTATATGATTGTTAATAGGTTAGTTTTCTTGGGTACTAACTTTTCATATCCTTTGACCACTTATCTGTTGGAAAATGGATCTTGCTCTTATAAATGTGTAGCAATTGCCAAATAGCAAATGTTTATCAGATAAGTTTGCTGTGAAGATTTTCTCCCAATTATTTCCTTTCTAATGATATTGCTTTTTTTGTATGAAAACTTTTCAGTTTTGTATAATCAAAAGTGTTCAGATATTTTATCTACCTTTCCTCTCCCTAATTTTCAGAAGAATTCTTTCTCAATACATTGTTATGAAAAGTTTTGCCTTCCAGTATTTTTTTAATTTGTTAAGGATATAAACTTTTAGAGCTAGGTTGGGCATCCATCCATTTAGGCCAGACATTGAAAACCCTTACAACCTGTTTCTCCACCAAACTTTCTAGTTTACTTACACCTCACCTTCCTGTTTTTGGTGATCCAGTGACATTTGCCTGCTTACTATTCCTTGGACAAGACAATCCATCTCCCAACTCTGGCCTTTTTTACTGACTGCCTCCCATGCTTGAAATGTTTTCTCTTCTTATCTATCCCTTTCCTTTAAATCCTAGCTAAAATCCCACCTTCTACATGAAGCCTTTCCTGATCCCCCTTGATTCAAGTTCCTTCCTCTTTGTGATTTTTCCAATTTATGCTCTGTATTGCTTGCTTATACATAGTTGTTTTCATATGGTCTCTTCTGTGAATCACTGAGCTCCTGGAGGGCAGGGCTTGGTTTTGTTTGTTTATTTCTTAACTTTTCTTTCTATCCTCAGTTCTGAGCACAGTACCTTGACCATAGTAAGAACTTAATAAATCCTTATTGATTTACTCTTTTTTTTTAAACTAATAGACTTAGAGACTTTTTGGTGTAATAGATCCCTTTGACAGTCTGGTAAGATGTACAGATCCTTCTTCAGAATATTGTTTTTAAATAAACAAAGCTAAATACATAGGATTACAAAGGAAACCAAGCTTATTGAAATTTAATTATGAAAATATTTTAAAAGACCATGGACCTCAGATTATGAATTCTATATTTAGAGCTTTTTTCTGAAATATGGCACAAAATGTTAACCTAAGTCTAACTTCTCCCAGACTTTGCAATTTTCCTAATTGTTTTTTGTTTTTTTGGGGTTTTTTTTGGTTTTTTGTTTTTCAGTAAGTCTAGGACCTCAGTAGTTTTGTGCCCTTAAATTTATTGAACTTTATGCTACTGGATTGTTTTCTTTAATTTTTCCCATTGATTATCTATTATCTTTTCTCTTTTTCAACCAGTTCCAAATAATTTGATGATTACTCTTTTAGTGTGGAGTTTGAGATCTGGTACTGCTAAGGCTCCCGTGCTTACAATTTATTTTTCATTATTTCCCTTGAAACTCTTGACCTTTTTTTCTGCCAGATGAATTTTATTTTTTTTCTACTTCTGAAAAGTAATCCCTTGGTAATTTGATTGATAGGACACTGAATCCATAAATTAATATAGTTAATGTTATAATTCCAATGATATTAGCACAGCCTGGCCTTAAGTGATTATATCCTCTCTAATTATTTAGTCTATATTTCTTTAAAGGGGTTTTATTGTCATATTCATGTGATTCTGTGTGTGCATTGGGCCCTGCCCTAAGGTATTTGGTTTGTTTGTTTTGTTTTGTTTTTACGTTCTGTCATAATTTTGAATGGAATTTCCTTTCCTGTCTCTTTCTACTGGAACTTGTTGGTAACATACAAGAAGTCTGATGATTTTGTGGACTCATTTTATTTGTCTCCTCATTTGCCGAAGTTGTTAATTGTTTTATTTTTTGAGCTTAATCTAGTATTCTTCAAGAGAACCATCATATTGCCTGCAAAAG